CTCATTCATACACATTCACACAAGAACTGTGCATGTACTTACATGCATGTTTTTCATTATGGCCTTGCTTTTATTGTGCCAGACTGATTAATGTTTATTATGCATGTTGCTCTTTATATCTGTGTAATGCAAACTTCTCTTGCATATTTCCATTAATGTCTATTGACATTATGTCCCACTTCACTGCCTTGATGCAACATAGCATAATAAATACCTATACAATAACTTGATCAACTGTAATATTCTCTTTTTACTATTTCTGCTTTTATAAACCATTTTAATATTTATTTAAAGTTTAATATTATATTTTCTTTTTTAGTCTTAGTTTATTCTTTCAGTCCAGCAACCACATATGACATATGACCACATTATTAAACATTTCAACAGTGTTTAATAATGTGCAAGGTCCCTGTTAATTGATAAACACATTTTCTTAAAATACATAACTTTTACACATTTCTGTTTTACTCAAACGAAGCCTTGTGGCATTACAGTGTTTTTTTTTATATTTTCCATATTCGACTACAAAGTCAAAATATCAAATCCATATGAGAATTTATTTAATATATTTAAGAAGTTATTTAGTCATTAAAAAAAAAGAAACCTCATAAATATAAACTCACATGCCTATTATTCCAGTGTATGAAATATAAACTGATTATTTTGTATTCATCTGTCATTAAGATTTTTGATCACAACATACACACACACACACTGAATGTTCTGTTAGTATTCATATAATAGGTCATTCTGGCTCACAGCAGGCAGCAATGTGATGTCAGTTAATTTTGCTTCTTTCCCACGTGTTCTTTCTTTCACTCTCTGTAAATCTTCTGTTTTCTCTTGCGTCTTTAATTGCATCAGCTTCTCTCCCTCTGTCGTGTCATTGGATATGGGTTAATATCCTCTCTGTCGTTCTCTCTCTTAATCCTCTGTTTTTCAGCTGATCTTTTATTGATTCTCCATCTCTGTTTCATGTGGCTGTGCTTTTCATTTAGAAGTCGCGTTTTACTGGAGCACTTTGAGTGGCTGCTGGTTGCTAACAGGCCTGTACAGCCATATACCAACACAAGATCTGACGTAGCACCAGTCATCCACCATGTCACATCTATACTTTGCTAATGAATCAAACTTTCATTCTGAGGCCATACTCAAAGTAGCTGTATTACAATTCATCTATGGAAAAACAAAGTGCAGATTAATTAATTTAGTGGAGCTAATTCAGTGTATGGAGAAACATACTTAATTGTATTGATGTTTTTTAACCCCTTAACATCAGTTGTTTTCCTATTATTGTCTTTGCTGTGCATCAGTGTGTGAATGTAAATGAATGAGTTAGTTTTTGTTCGAAGGACTTTGCCATCGCTGAGTGAATGTGTGGATAAAGGGAATGTGGCATGGAGTGTAAAGCGCTTTGAGTGAAGACTAGAAAGGCACTATACAAGTACAGGTCCATTTACAATAAGCAATGAAAAAAGAAAATTGTTAACTTAAAACAATTACTTAAACTGGGAACACACCAACACAACAAGTTTTTTTTAATCAAGTCGACAAGTTAGATAAACACAACTGCTTTAGGACTGATTTGAAAAAAACTTAATTCATTTGTGTTACCAATTTAAGTAATTTTTTAAAGTTGATCCAACAGTTCTCTTTTTTCAGTGCAGATGACTCTATGTGTCCATCTTCTCAAGGTTGAAGCTAATTTATCATTAGCTAGATGTTGGAAACTCTTAGTAAAAGCAAGCAGCGATATATTTACTTTATCAACATTAAGAGAAAAGATAGAATGTTTGTAACATAAAATAACTTTAAATTAATCCAAATTCAACAAGAAGAATTTAAGCATCCCAGTTTCTCCCAAAATAATTCAAAAACTTTAAAATTATATAAGTTATGAATTCATGAACATGTATCTCAGTGTGAAATTGCCTTAAAATTTTAAATTATTCGAGTGAAAAGTGGTTTTGCTTTATGCAGTACACCTTGGTGGTACTCAGCAGATGAACACTGTGAAAGTGTTTTTCAAATTGAGAGAACACTCAACACTGTGATTGGATAAGAAACACCTTTTTTGTAAACAATATGTATAAAATAATATAGTGTTGTATAGGTATTCAGACAGAGAATCAGAGTCCTGTACAGTTACACCGTTTTAGTTTAAGTTTTTTGTCCCTAATAGATGTATTGATTTTTTTCACTCTTAATTTACTTTTTTTTATTTAATTCTTGATCCTCTCGTTAACACAAGGTATATACTGTATTACTATACATCAGCACATATTTCTTTATTGATTAGCTGAAAAATCCTACCCAGTATGGGTCCAGTGTGAATTGAAAACACTACCCTCATCATTAAATCTTTAAGCACAGGGCCAAGTCAAATACTGTATATACTTGCAATCAACAATGCATAGGCCAGTATACTTTTTAATAATTATATCAAATTAAACATATACAGGATCCCATACTGGCAAATACCTCTACATATTAAATTAACCAGTGAAAGCCACAACCAGTCAAAGTACCTGCACATACAAAAAATGCTAATGAGGCAATTCATCTTCCATCCACCAGTAAACCTAAATTCCAATGAAGCATAAATTATTCATACCACATTTTTTGGAATAGAAATGGAAATGGAAATGGTAGTGCTGATAAGTTTTTTTTGTTTTTTTGTTTCAGAATTTCAAACAATGTGAATGAAAAAAAAAACTACTGCAAGTGGAAAGCTTCAGTGCCAATGTCCTTATGAAGATCATCATCATTATTTCCTATTATTACATTTTATATTCCCTTCTCTGACGTATTAGTGTATGTGACAATTGCTGAACAGTACATTAGTAAGCTTGCAAAGAAATAAAGTGAATGGTAAAATAAATTATTTTACAGACTGTTTAAAATGTTTGATCCAAAGCCTTCATCAGAGTACAACACTGTATTTTTTAAAAGTAA